AGCATTGCTGCACAGTGAGTAGGGAAGGGGAAGTAGAGAAGGAAAAATATACACAGTTACCACCAGTTTGACTATAAAAGTTATTTATTGCTAAGTATATGAAATGTATAATGGTACTAATAGTAATAGACATGCAGAGGAAAACAAACAAAAACAATTACAATATTACCCTGGTTTCATTGAGTATTTGGGGAAACCTAGCTCAAGCTTAACTAATACAATTCAGGTTTAGAAAGCTATGTCTAGAGAGAAAAACAAAAGAGAGAGAGAGAGCTGGGATCTCACCATTCCAAGGCACTCAGGTGATTTGTTGACAAGCAAAGTTCTCAGCACGATCCTTGAAGGGAGACGATCTGTTTCTCCCAGCTTCTTGAAAACAACAGTGAATGGTGTCAGAGAGATTTCTCCCTCTTGAAAGCACACTGTTTGCTACTTTTACGCTTTCTTATACCCTTACCTTAGCTTCTTCAAAGCATTCTTTTAATTGTGTAAATCAAGAGGGTCCCAAGTCATAATTGACAGGGAAAATCCTGTTATATAAACAGTTTGCATTTAAATGAATTACCTTTTTCAGTGACAAGGGGTTATCTGTTTGGAACATCTCAAAAAACACTGATTAACAACCAGGAAAAACATAAAGTTTTAAGATGTAACCAGACACCTAGGAGCCAGTTTGAAATTATTATGAATATACTTATTATGAATATACTTCTTTTTTTTCCTCCTGCATAGTTTGGCACTTCTTAAAGCAATATTGCCTTTAAAGAAGAAATAACTTTCCCTGGGAAAATGGACAGAGATAACTTATCTGTTTTTTGAACATTTAGGCTAAAATTTTCAAAATAATCTGGAGTATCTGGACACCCAATTCCCAGGGAATTCCCAGGGGAAGGGATCTTCTTAGATGGTCTAGCTATGCTTGCACTGTGAAGTCAGCATCAGTGTTTTGTATTTTACCTGTTGTGAATAAGCCTCAGTTTAGCATGATTCTCAGATTTTACTGTAATCTTTTAACAAACTTAAGGGGATTACTTGAAGTGTTCATAAACTTTGTGGGGAGGACTTCCACCAGTCGTCCCAGGAAAAGTATGACAGCATTTGGGTCAGGCTTCAACGGGCTGGATGCTGTGATGAACCCTTAACCATTGTTCAAATGTTGCCCATACCCACTCTGACTCGGGTTTTTTGCTTCAGCATTCCCTAACCTGGCAACTAAGTTTTAGTCAATCAAGTTTAAATAGGCCTCCCACAGTGGGACCGGGGAATGTATGGCCCAAGATGCCTAGTAAACTTTTCTTTTGCTTAGTTCTGGTTAGATGAGGTGTGTGCGTGTGTGTGTATGTGGTGGTGGGGAAATAGAAAAAGTCTGTTGTAAGTCCAGCAAACTGGGTGCCAGGCCTCCATTAGGAAGACAGAGCCGACAGGTAACAAATGGCAAGTTTAGGCTAATCATACCTAAATTTGATACTTGCAGATGCAGGTATCAAATTTAGGTGTGATTAGTTAAAGCACATTAACACATGTATAGACACAACCTGGCACTAATTTTAGTGCTGGGTCTGCCCAGCCACTAGGGGGCCACCCTGAGCCCAGCCCCAGGGCTCCTGGCTGGCTGCCCCTCCTCCCCAAGGGCTGGGCTGCTCCCTAGCTGCAAGGTAAAAAAGCCAGCAGAATTTTGTTCCCTGGGGCACACAAACCAGGAGCCTGGACAAGACTGCTGATCTGTGTGGGAGCCTAGCAGGCCCTGTGTGCCCCCCTGGACAGGCCACAAGCTGTCTCTGCCTGGTCTATGCTTCTCCAGAGCTCCTGCTTGCTGTACCCTTTGCCTAGCCCTGAGATCCACCCAGGGATGCTGCCTGGCTGTCTCTGTGAGCAGAGCCAGCTCTTTTCCCATCCTGCTACTCACCCCAAGCTGTCTCCTGTGCGTGCAGGTCCTGTGGTGAAGTGCCTCTGCTGTGCAGGTCCCAGTCCCTGGCCATGTCCCTGCTTTGTGTGCTGCTGACACCCCTCAAGGGCCAGCCACATAGGGACAGCCACATGGGGGCCCAGAGAGCTGGCGCAGGATGAGACTGTCATTTTCCTCCTCCCCATCAAGCCCCAGCCCTGACCACTTGTGCACACCCTTGCCATCTGCTACGACCCCCAGCTGGGAGGGGGTGCATGAGTTCATGACAGTCTTGGGCTGATGTGCAGAGGCAGTTTGTGTGGGGTGGGCACTTGATTGGGCCCAGGCCTGCCCAGCCAACTTATCATGGTCCTTGGGCACCTGTGCATGGCTGATCTCCAATCTGAGGCTGGGCAGTATACTGTCCCTGGTGCAGAGCATCCTATCTCTGAAATGTTGCAACCTCTCACAAAAGGCTTCTGTCTTCGAAGGGCCAACATCTGGATGTGGGAGAGAGGCCACCAGTGCCAGTGGGAATGTGGACTCTGGGGCACCGCCACCCACTGCTGAGGTGGTCTGGATGCGCTGGCTGCACCAGTGGAACACCAGGGACTGGATCCTCCTGCTCCAGTGGCAGGTGGTGAAGGAGCAGGAAGTGCAGGAGCAGGTGCAGGAGGCATGGGAGCAGAAATGGGAGGTGTGGGATCAGGCCTGGCAGGTGAAGGATGTTGCCCAAGCAGAGGCACAGGACTGGAGACAGTGGGACCACATGGAGGCCCTGGGGCAGGAGTGCCTGGAGCAGCTCTAGCAGCAGGGGGACACCAACCACCAGGCCATGGAGACCCTCCTGGGCCTGGTAGCCACGTACATGTCTCTCACTGTCTGGCTCCCTCCCAGACCTGTGCAGGGCCCCTGGGTACCACCCACTGCCCCACAGTAGACCCCCACCTGGCCCTGGGAGGAGGTCCTTGGGCATGTCCTGCCCACCAGACCCCTGGCTCGGTACCTGTCCTGGACCTGATGCCACCTACCTGGGCTCGGACCCACCACTCTTCCTTGTGCCATGCAGCCAAAGACTCGACCCTGCATGGATAGACCCACAGGGGAACATCCAGGGTGTGGTTTTCTGGGCACCTGTCTCAGGGCTCTGCTTCCTAGGCCCCCCTCCATGGCCCCCCACTCTGGGCTTGAAAACCCAAAATATTGTAAATAGTTTTCAATATGTACATAGTTTGCCTCTTGTAAGTGGGTTTTGTATTGTTGGAGGGTTGGGAGAGTGGTGGAGGGGCAGTGTTTGTTGAGGAGGGAGGGATGGGGTGGGAGGTGTGAAGGCAATAATGATTTTTTGTTTCACCAATGTGCATATCTTGAGAGTGGTGCTGGGGGTGGGCAGGTATTTAGGCGCATGTGGGCAGCAGGGAAGGCAGGCTGGAGATGGGAGTGAAGGAGGAGGGGGTTAGGCAGGGCCCCCTACAGCCAGTGCCCTGGCCCCCACTGGCAGGTGTGCAGCTGTCCTGGGGCCTGGGAGGGGGAGGGTGTGCCTGCTGGGGCCAGCAGAGCCAGCACCATGGCCAGCAGGAGTGTGAGTCACTGGTTGTTGCTGGCAGGGGCAGGTGCAGGGGCTGGGGCTGGAGCAGCTCTGGTGTGTGGAGACAGGGTGGGCAAAGAGAGAGATTCTGTGTACTGCCCCTCTACTGAGCACACGGCTCCTGGGCAGGGAAGGGGCTGGCCAGGGATCAGAGTTTCCCAAATGGCTGCCAGGTGCTGAAAGCTGACTCTGGCTTCAATATGACTGCCAAATGCTGGCAGCCATGTGGCTGGAGGTTGGAGCTCCCCTGTGTGAACACAGGGGCACATGGCAAGATTGGAGAGACTTGGGACTAACTTCAGTGCCACGTCCCTGCATGTGTAGACACCTGCCAAAAATTGCTTAATGTGCATTAGCTTGATGCGCATTAAATATAGTTGCACTTATTTGCACCCCTTGTTACATATAGCATGTACTGACATGCTATTTTTACTTCAACTGATACATTTTGCACACTTGAGTTTAGCAGATATCCAAATAAATTGGTATGTTTCAGAATCATATGTTTAAATGCACATTGTTTATTTTGTCAAGCCATGAATATTTGGTACAAACTCAGAAAGTGAGCTTATAACTGAATTGACAATGACGTATTGAACAAAACAAAACAATCCTATTTATTCTCACTTCTAGGTTTCCAAATGTGTCCTGTCATTTGTGTGTTAACCTGTTAGGCCTAAGTTCAGGAAAGGGATAAAGCATGTGTCTCAAGGTTCTATGTGCCTGATCTACAGCATAATGAAATCAATAGTAGGAAGATTATTTGGTTTTAGTGGGCTTTGAACAGACTTAATGGGATTCGAGGTCCACCTCTAAGCCCATCATCCTCATTTTTGCATGTTGGCCAATGCTAAACAGATTGTTGGCACTAACCAAATAATAGAAAGGACAATTTTTTTTTTCAAAAAGGCCTTTTATTAGGTAAGTGTTAACAAATAAAACACTTGTATCAATCAGCAAGAGGTAATCCAAAAATGCAAAATCACTCCCATTTGATTATTACATAACACTTAAACCAGGTTTGACCCCTCATGTAAGAACAGGCTGTTGTTTCATAGATCATACAGATGAGATATAAACAGACGCTTGTAAAAATGAACATGCTACTGTCTCCAAAACTGAAACGATAAAGTGTTTCAGTGCTCATGCTGTAGTCCAAGAGAAAACCAATGTGCCGTATATCAAATATTTTTCACTACTATCCATCTGTTGAACAGTTCACTTCCCCTGCAAGAGGTTTGTGTATACAGGCATAGTTATATACATGCACCTGAATGTATGTCCACACAGTCTTTTCATGTATGAATTTCTATCATATTATCTATTCCTATTTTTTTCTTTCTATTCCTAGCACAAGTTGCTGTTTTTCTCTCCATTTCCCCCTCAGAATTCAGATCCCATCCATTATTTTATAGTGCCATTAAAATGTTGACACTTATTGTTTTAAAATAATGAATGCTTAGGAAAAGAAATGCTCGTAAGTCAGTGGCAACCTCAAGTACTTTCACATGCTAAACCCGAGTGCTTGAATGATAACCTCTATCAAAGACATATTTATTTCTTAACAAAGTCCTTCACAGAACGAGCAAGGCACCTGGATCGCTGGTAATCTGGGTCTGGTTACTGCTTGGAATACTGTCTGGAGGGATACGTGAAGGGCCAGCTTGGTACCAGCTGCGGGGCCCACAGAAGCAAATGAATGAACAGCACTTTAGGCATAATGAGCAAAGATATTTCCTGAATTTTTCACCAGCAAAAGCATAGATAATTGGATTAAGACAGCAGTGACTGAATGCTAGGGTTTCAGTTGCATGCATGGCATAGTCTAAAACTATTGAATGGTCACATTTTGAAAAGAAGTTGAAATAGTTCTTTAAAGTGTCTAGAAAAATCAGTACATTGTATGGGGTCCAGAAGAGGAAAAACACAATCACCACCACTAAAATCAACTTGATAGCTCTAGTTTTTTTATGATTTTTGCAGGAAAGCAGTGTCCTGATGATCCCAAAGTAGCAGTAGCTCATGATACAGATTGGGATCAGAAACCCTATGACATTCATTTCTATGTTGCAAAAAATTGGCCAAATAATTTGGAGATCTTCTGGGTAATTCACGGTGCACTGTTCGTTTACCTTTTCAGTGAACACAAATTGTGGCACTGAGAATAATGCCGCTGCTATCCACACAAAAAGAGCAATAATACAGCCATGGCCGATTGTTCTGGATTTCAGAGAAAAAGTTACCTGAACTATAGCCAGATATCTATCTATACTTACAACTGTGATAAAAAACATGCCACCAAAGAAACCCACATAATAGAGTGAGGAAATGAGTTTGCAGAAAACAGTTCCAAGTGTCCATCCTTTTCTCACATAGAAAGCCCAAAATGGAAGAGAGATCACAAAGAAAAGGTCTGAGATAGCTAAGTTCAAGAGATAAATGTCAGCGGTACTCTTTTTATTGCCAGCCTTTAGGAAGGCAAAAACCACAAGGAGATTACCTACCAAGCCAAGGAGAAACACAATAGTGTAAAATACTGGCAAGAATACTTTTCCAAACGTTTGGATGTCCATTTTATTACAAACAAGAGAGTCTTCATCATAGAGAAATTCAGTTGTTGCATCAGTCATGATGAGTAATTTTCTTATGAAAACCTCCTATAAATGGGGAAAAATAGGCATCAGAGAGGGTAAATCCAGTAGTTTAAAAATTGCAGTAATAGGTGAGATGCAAACTGTTTTCCTGGAGACAATGTAGCAGGAATTGCATATAATTGTTGATGAGTGTGGCATGTAGGAACTATTGTGAATCTGACATCCAGAGATGTATAAGCAGTCCTGTTCATGGAAAATCAATTAAAAAAAATGGAGAGGAGGGGAAAGTTGATGTGTGGCTATGGCCTGCACAAAATGTGCGTTAGCTTAATAGGTTGGATCCTTCCTTTTTTTTTCTTTTTCTTTTTTTCAGTTATTTGTAATTTCTTTAGCAAACATGGAGTAAAAATATATAATGAAATATAATATTCTGCTAATATTATATTTCAAAACTGAAATAACAAAGAGTTATAAAATATAATATAATATTATATTTCAAAACTGCCTAACAAAGAGTGCTCTCTTGAAGCATATGATGAAGGGAAAATTATTGCTAGATGAACCTTTACACTTACTTGAGTTAAACCGGGATCTAAAGTGGCGAGACATACAGGTATCCTGGGATACACATACTCAGTAGACATGGACTCTAGTACCTAGTCATTAACAGTTTGTTTATGTCATTCGGAAGTTTATGACTCTTGTTTTGTAGTTACATTGGAGCGTTTTTTTGTTCTGGCTAGAAACTTCTGTCTTCTGTTTCAAGTTTAGAATTCCTCTTCCCCTAAAAATGTTACTTGAAATGCACCCATAAATTTAAAACTGTCTTCTGTGGTTTTGATACAGGAAGGAGGGCATGAGAAGAAGAGCAAGCAAAGGTCTCTCTTATTGCTGATAACTGTAGCTGTAGATGAAGAGTGGAGGAAGCAATATTAGTATTAAGCAGTACACGCCCAAAGCCTTTTACTGCAGCTCTATAGCAGGAGTCCTTCTCACATAAATAAGTGTGAATTTAGCTTGCAAGCAGATTGTATCCAGCTGTTACATCACAGGGCATTACAATACTGAAGTCTCTCTGAATTGACTCTAACAACTTGCACAGGGAGATGACCTTCCATAGAATCATAGAGAAGCAGGGCTGGAAGGGACCTCCATAGGTCATCTAGTCCTAAACCCTGTCTAAGGCAGGATTATCCCTATCCAAACCATCCTATGCAAATCCATGATGTAACCTCTTAGCAAAACTACATGGTTAACCTGACACAACAGAAGACATAACATCCTAACCTGTCCACTAACATCCTAAAGCAGGGGACTATGACAGCCAATGTCCTGCTTCTGTCAAAGTTGTTAATATGCCCTCAAGCGATCCCAGAAAGAGGCCCAAGTCCCCACTACAGAGGAAGGCAAAAAACCCCATAGTCCATACCAGTCTGGCCATAGGGTAAAATTCCTACCTGACCCCAAACCTGGGGATCGGTCTGAACCTGAGTGGAAGGGAAATACCCTTTAGTCAAAATTGCCAGCCTTGGAAGGCTTTAAAAAAACGCCTGACATAGGTAAGTAGGGAGCAGGGGAGGGGAAGTGGGTGGATCTTTATCAATAATAAATGGACCTGATAAAACTGAATCAAGCCGAGTTTGAATTTCGAGTCTTTCTGGCTTTTGTTCTCATTTCAAAAGAAGGTTATTCAAATCCAGGCTTTCATTCAAAATCAGTAGAGTTACTGCTGAGAAGCTGAAGACAGGCTTTTTACCATTTGATTTTTCTATGGTTTTCCAATGTTCACTCCAAGTGAAACAACAGTAAAAGCTAGACCAGGGATCAACAATGTTTTTGGACAGGGTGCCAAAAATGCCACAACCTTAATTTGTAAGATGTTGGAATGCCGGGGCAGACAGCAGGAGATCCATGAGGGGCCCAATCCTTGTTGTGGCAGTGCAGCCCCAGGTCCTTCCCCAAGGTCTGCTCCAAGGCAAAATGTCTTTGCATGTCATGCTATGACACACATGCCATGCTATGACACACATGCCACGCTATGACACACATGCTGAGGGCTGCCTATCCCTGAGCTAGAGTTCTATTTCAGGTATTCTCATTCCAGAGCTAGTTTCACACCCTGCTGAGACAGTCTATGTAACAGCCAGAGATTTTACCCCTAAGGATTTTCATCCATCTTTGCACAAGGAGGGCGCATCCACACATGCAGGCATATGCGTTTGCATCAGCTCAAATAGCAGCAGCACAAATTTGTGCTGGAGATTTGTTCCTCAGCACATGTGCCTGAACATGCACCTTGGTGTGGGGCAAATTGTACCACTTGGGGCAAACTGACCCTGCCCACCTCCTCCTGCATCTTCAGCCAGGGGAGCTAGAGGCTGGGGCAGCGCCCCCGGCGGGCCCCCCGCGGGGGGGGGGGGGAGCCGTATAAAAGCTGCTCTGGAGAGCAGGTCAGGGCTACTTGACCTCATGAGTTTCTGAGGCCTGACCAGTTGGTATCTGGGAACACCAGCCCCTTGTGCTAACTGAACTGCTGAAGCAGCCCTAATTTAGAGTGGCCCCTGTACTCTCTACCCACTGCAGCAGTCTGTCAGTGGGGGCTGTTGCCTGGCTGTGACCTGCTGCCACCTGCAATAGCATCTGCCCCCTTGGTCCTGCAGCCCCATGGCTGCATGCCTGCCAGACTCAGATGGGGACCACATGGCTACATGGGCTGTGGAATGGGCACTGTAGCAGAGCCTCCTGTGCCTCTTGGCCAGCTGCCAGTGGGCCATAGCTGCACAGTTCTCTCACCAGGATGTAGAGACAGCCAGCCCTTACTGTTCTGCTCCCTGCACCGGTGCCCAGACCCCAGCAACCCCATGCCATTCTTGGGAAGTCCTCAACTGGGCTGGACAAACCCATTCCCTTCCAGGCTGGCCTCCCCCTGTACAGGCTGCTTTAGTGGGGGACAGGGGGGCTCTAAGCTCGGCTCTGGTGGCTGCTTCTACCCAGAGCACTCCCCCATCCCCCAACCCCATATCTCTCTTTCATACATACCCCAGCTGCCACTTTCACCCCTCCCCTCAGCCCATCACACCCGCCAAGTGGTTCCTGGGACCAGGAGGCCCACCAGGCCAGGGCCACATGTTCCAGAACTGGTGTGGTCATGCGACAGGCATGCACTGTAACAGTTACCTCTGCAGCCATGGCTCCCACCAGTAGGTATTGTCCCATCTGGTGGCTGGGCATGCAGAGTGTGAGATTTGTGGCAGGGGTGGGAAAGAGGTGTGGGGGAGGTTTAGGGGGTTGTGGGTGGGTGTAGGGATGGGTGTGGGATTTGTGGATGGGGTTTGTGGTGGGAGAGTGAGGTGTGGGGGGGTGTGGGGTTTGTGGGTGAGTATGTGGGTGGGGGGGTTGTGGGTATTAGGCTTGTGAGTGGATTGTGAGGGGTTTGTGGGTGCAGGGTTTGTAAGTGGGTATGCAGTATTGCGAACTCTCATGATTTTTGACATTGTTCTTAAAGTCTAAATTTCAGCAATGTGAAAAGCTTAGCTCATTTATATATCTATATATATATCTCTCTCTATATATAGATATATAAAATTTTATATATCTATAAATATATATATAAAAGAAAGCTAAATTTTTCACATTCCCAAAGTGTAGACTTTAAGAACAATGCCAAAAATCATGAGAGTTGGCAATACTGGGTATGTGGGGTTTGTGGGAGGGTTGTGGGAGGGCCCATTACATGCCCACCCACCCGGCAGCAGTGGATTGTTGGGGCACCCATAGCCTACTGCAGGCAGAATCCCCCAGCGACATGTAAAACCGCCTGAGACCCAGGGGTTACACGTTGTGCATGAAGTTGGCCCAGTCTGCTGGTGCGCACCTTCACATAGGACTGGGTTGAGGGGAAACCAGCATATGCTGAGGGGAAACCAGCACGGGTTCGTGGCAGGCAGATCGTGTCTGACCAATCTAGTTTCTTTTTATGACCAGGTTACGAAATGCCTGGACACAGGAGGAGGGGTGGATGTCGTATACTTAGACTTCAGGAAGGCCTTCGATACAGTATCCCACCCCATACTGGTGAACAAGTTAAGAGGCTGTGACTTGGATGACTACACAGTACAGTGGGTGGCAAATTGGCTAGAGGGTCGTACCCAAAGAGTCGTGGTGGATGGGTCGGTTTCGACCTGGA